GAGAGAGAGAGAGAGAGAGAGGCCTTGCACTTTTTTTCTTTTTGGGCGGACTTTTTTTTTTTTTTTTTTGCGCCGCACTTGGTGCGATGCGCGGTACGGTGCGCAAGGTGCGCCAGACGTGCGCTGAGGCGCGCACCTCAATGCGCCGCAACTATGAGCTGAACCTTCTTTTCTTTTTTTTTTTTTTTTTTTAATGTGGTCCCCTTAGACCACGAATATGATGCTTTGTTTTATTTTGTATAAACTTTACTTTTTTTATTACTACTTTTCGAAACTTTGAGAACCCATCAGTGGAGGCATGATTGGTATTTGTCAAAAAAAAAAAACAAAAAAAAACATCCTGATAAACCTGAGAGGGACAGTCATTCATCTGCATCACACCACCTTGCTACTCCGCATAAGTTCAGTTCGACTATGACGTAGGGACTGCGCGTTTGGTATTTCGATTTTTTTTCGGTCTCTTTGTGTGCGACTGCTGACGATGGTCGGCCGTGAGCTGATGATCTTCAGTACGCTGGCGGCCTGGCGTCTTTGTCTTTGTCCTACTACCACGTTGGAATGGTGCGTTCCCAAAATAGTAGTTTGTTTTTTCACCCGGTACCTATTGGGCCTGCCTGTACTATACTTATCAGTACCAGTCCGACGAAGTGGCACTTTGGCACTTCGGGACTTGGGGACTTGGAGCTGGGTGGGCCCGGGTGCTTTTCTCGGGTGCCCGAATCGCTGGCTGACAGCCACAGGCACGGGTGCTGTCACATAGTTAACTTACGGCTTTTTTTTGTGAAGCTGACTGGCAGTGTAGTCCGTCGTATTTTTTTGGTTTCGAACAGTTGGCGTGCGGAGCAATCAAGCTCAGAAAGGCCGCGTTGTGTGATAGTGCGAATGTAGTATAGTAGAGATGATTGCTTAGCTTGAGGTCTTATTAAGAGGGAGGTCCTACGCTGGTTATCCAACGGCGGAGGTGGGAGAAAGTGGAGTGACGGACATGTTAAGGGTTGAAGATTGGAGGACCTCCCCCTGAGGATAACAGCGTGGCGGGGGTCGAAACCAGTCGGGGTGCCCTAACACGCCGACTTCAGCAATTGTCTTTGCGCTATGGTGCTCTTTCAGCGTACGATTGTACTATCTTGTGCAGTGTACTCTTTCAGTGTGCATGATGTACGTGTGAACACATTTGTGCTACTGCATGTGTTTTTTTCACCGACCGTCGGCTGGTCAGCCCCCGACCAATCCAGGGGCGCCGACCGTCAGCGTGACTACCCTGTGGAAAGTGCTCTGCTGTGTTCCCCCAAACACAATGCACCCCCATGACGAATGTATCATACCAGAAAGATAGCTTGAGTACATTCATGATCAGGGTGCATTGCCTTTAGAACAGAAACAGAAACAGTAGCCCTCAGCTACAGAACCAACTAGTTGATACAACGTACGTAGAGTTGCGTGCTTAGACGATGACACTGGGGCACCAACCAAAAACCGATAAATTCCCAATGATTGCCAGAGGCAGATTCATACGACACCTATTTTTACACCGAAAACGGAAAGGGCAAACAGTCCTTAACATCATATAATAGTCATGCACACACACAGAGCGCAGGCATGCATGCACGTGTTCACATGCAAGAAACACGAGAGAGAGAGAGAGAGAGAGAGAGAGAGAGAGAGAGAGAGAGAGAGAGAGAGAGAGAGAGAGAGAGAGAGAGAGAGAGAGAGAGA